GAGAGAGAGAGAGAGACGAAAGGAAAACGTGAATTGCGCGAACTATCGCGAAGCGCAATGTTGTCTTACGTTAACGGTTAATAGTGAATGATATTGTGCGTGCAAAAATGAGTTCGCAATCTCCATCGCGTTGTACAATAATCCAGCTTAAAGAAAGATTACGAGAATTGAATTTGATCCGACGGCCGGAAAGTCGAGCTGTTGAGACGTCTGCACGAAACGGAACCAACCGCCGGGTGAATAAAAAAAAACTGAGGCGTTCGGCCCAGGAGAATGAATCTGATATCGAAGCGCAGGCACTAGCAGCTCAACGAGAGATGGAAATGTATCGCAAAGAAAGGGAATTAGCTGAGCGCGAGTTACAAATAATGAGAAGAGAGGTCGAGCTGTTGAAAGAGACGCGACAGTTTTATGCAACGAATCGAATGCAAATGGCGGACGGAGAAAACGATTCACGTGATGTGACGAAAGCGAGTATTTCGGCCATAGTGAATTTACTAAGTTGTTTGATGGTAGCATCGGCGACTTTGAGAATTGAGAATTACAACTCAAATTACTAAAGAAGATGTATGATCGTTTGATGATTACGTCTGATGATTACGTCAGGATCTTGATCGGCATGCGGTTAAGGGAGAAAGTGCCGAGTGATTCCAATTGAAGGCTGTACATATCGAGCTACTTATTGATGATTTTCTCGGCGAACTGCGCGAGATGTACAGCCACCGTTCCAGTAAAGTCTGACTACGCAAGCGATTTGAAGAGCGCAAATGAAATCTTCTACCAATACATCCATAAGAAGATCGTTCTGGCTAATCAAGTGCCTATCCCTGAGGATGAGGTGGTGGAATACCTCATAGATGGGATACCTGACGTAAGTCTACCAGGCACGCATTGGGCAGATTTCCACAAAGGCGATGTTGCTGAGAGCTTTCGAAAAAGTAATGCTAAAAGACAGAGTCTCAGGCGGCATCGCCGAGCGACGGAAGCGGTATGACAAGGATCAACACCGACGTCCGAGCGAGAAAACTAAAGGTGAGAAAAAAAGTGAGCAGCGAAACGGAGAGACATTACTTCAATTGCGATCTTTGAGAACATGCGGTTGCGAACTGTCCTATCAAAGCAGAGAGCCCAAAGTGTTTCGAGTATGAACGAGGGCACATTGCCATTAGATGTGCTAAGAAGCAGAATGCTGTGCGAAATGTCGACGTAAACGTAATCAAGAAATACGATAAATATATTAAGAACGTTAGCATAAGTGATTGTATGTATTAAGTGCACTTGTGGACACTAGTAGTGATATTTGTTTGATTCGCGCTAATGCATATATTAGGCTGTTCGCGATTAGAACTGAAGGAAATTCGATTCCGAGGAGTGGGCGCAATCGGTAACTCTACTTTGGGCGAATTCAATACCGAATTAATGATAGACGGCTACATATATCCTATCCTCATCCCTGTCATATCGGATACACTTATGGATTAGATTTATTACTTGGTGTTGACTTCTTAAACTCGGTTGTCGAATTAACTATAAAATCTGACAAGCTTATAATCAGTTCGTTACCGGAACAAACTCGTTTAGAAGATAATTTAACAGAAATTCTGCAAATCGATTTAGACTTCGAGAAAAACGATGTCGATGTGGTCCACATCCAGAAACCGAAATATAGAGAAGAAATTAAGAAATTCATGCGAGAGTATAAAATGCAAGAAATTGGTCTTAAAATGTCTATAATTTTAAACGACGATAAACCCGTTATCAAAGAGCGAGACGATTAGCGATGCCTAAGAGAGAATTAGTGAATGCGCAAACGAGTGAATGGCTGCGTGATGGTATGATTCAATCGTCGTTGTCATGCGAGTCCGATTGTGTTAATTAAAAAGAAAGATGGTTCTACAAGGCTGTGCGTAGATTATAAGCAATTGAATAAGAAAATAATAAAGGATAGGTATCTTTACCGTTACCTTTAATAGAGGACCAATTGGATGCGTTGCAGTGAGCAAAACTTTATAGTACTCTTGATTTAAAAAACGGCTTCTTTCATGTGATGGTTGACGAACGAAGTCGTAAGTATATTGCCTTTAGGGCAGTAAGTATACACGCCTGATGAGCGTTATGAATTTTGTGCATTTCGTTCGGATTATGTAATTCTCCGGCTATCTTTCAGAGATTCATTAACATTGTATTTAGAGATCTCATTCAAGAAAAAGTCGTATTGACATATTTAAATGATTTGATTGTACCGTCAATCGATTGCGAGAGCGGAATACATAGTCTAATAAAAGTTTTGCAAACTGCGAATGAAGCCGGGTTAGTGATTAACTGGAGGAAGTGTAGCTTCCTAAAGGAATGCGTCGAATTCCTCGGACACGTGATAGAAAACGGATATGTATCTCCGTCTGAGTGTAAAATTGAAGCGGTCAAAAATTTCCCTGAGCTTATGAGTGTGAAACGCGTGCAAAATTTTTTAGTGCTTAATGGATATTTTCGAAAATTTATATCGCAGTATTCATTTATTGCGCAACCGTTGAGTGATCTGCTCAAAGCAAACGTCAAATTTGAATTCAGTGAAAAAGTGAAACAAGCGTTTCTTAGTTTAAAACAGATCTACTAGTGTACTAAGCCAATGTTAAAGCTTTATAAAATCGACGCCGAGACAGAACTCCATACGGACGTATCGATGTTTAGATTGGTGCAATACTGTTGCAAAGGGATGAAGTTGATAACGCGTGGTATCCCATTTACTATAGTAATCACAAAACTACATCAGCAGAGCAAAAGTATCCAAGCTACGAGCTGGAAGTGCTAGCTATCGTGAAAGCGTTCAAGAAATTCAAGATTTATTTGTTGAGAGTTCCATTCACCATCGTAACCAATTGCCGTTGCAACAATGAACAAAAAGGACTTGTGCGTGCGGATTGCCAGATGGGCGTTGCTGCTCGAAGAATTTTAGTATCGGGTCGAGCATCGTTCTAGGAAGAGTATGAGACATGTAGATGCTTTAAGTCACTATCCGTTGCCAGAATGTAATTTGATCAACAAGGAGAGGGATGGATTAACAGCACGATTGAAGAAAGCGCAATCGGAAGACGGAAATGTTAAAAAAATCTTCGATCTAGTGGAGTCGGGTAAAATGACTGACTATGTTATCAGAGGTGGATTGCTTTTCCGTGAAAATAATGGAGAGCTGTTAATAGTAATGCCAGAGAGTATGCAGTCGCAAGTGATTAGACAGGCGCACGAAACCGGTCACTTCTCTGTGGCGAAAACTGAAGCGATTCTAGGAAGTGACTACTGGATATCAAATGCTAAAGCAAAGATCGAAAAGTTACTATTGTGTTGTGTGTATTTTGGCCGAACATAAGCATGGCAAACAAGAAGGACTATTAAGCTTTATTGCTAAAGAAGAGATTCCTCTCGATACCTATCACATTGATCATTTAGATCCGCTCTCCTCTACTAAGAAAAACTACAAGCATATTCTTGTTATAGTGGATGCATTTTCCAAGTTCGTGTGGCTTTATGCGACCAAGACCACGAATACAAAAGAAATCTTAAACAAATTGCGTAAACAAGCCTTCATCTTTGGAAATCCTAGGATAATTTCAGATAGAGGTACAGTCTTTACATCCAATAATTTTTCTGAATATTGTGCAGATGAGAGTATTGAGTACAAATGGATTTGTACTCAATATTGATTACAAATGGAATTCCAAGAACGAATGGACAAGTTGAACGTGTCAATCACACTTATTCTGTTATTGACAAAATTGGCAGATCCGAAGTGTGATGAATGGTACTGCTATTTGAAGCGTACGCAACTTTATCTGAACACTACAGCGCATAGAAGTATAGGTACTGATTCGTTCCATTATATAATTCCATTTATTGTTTGGTACCAAAGCCCGGTTGCAAAATAATCCGGAAATCAGAACGTTGATTGATGAACGTTGAGTGGATTGAAGCATTTCAGGAGGAGCGCGATGAGTTGAGACAGCGTGCAATGAACAATATATTGAAGGTACAGCAAGAGAACCGACGAACTATAATAACCGACGAACTATAATAAGAAGAGGGTTACGTCAACAGTTTATAAAGAAGGCGATTTGGTTGCAATTAAACGAACCCAACAAGGATCTGAAGTTTGCAACAAAATTCCTTGGTCCTTATAAGATAACTAGAGCTTTATGTAACGACAGATATCTGATTCAATGAGAAGGCGAGCATGAAGGACCCTACACGACTTCAACCTCTGCCGATAATATGAAATTCTGATTGTCTGATATTTCAGATCAAGAAGTTAGCGCGCGCGCGCGCGCGCGCGCGCGCGTGTGTGTGTGTGTGTGTGTGTGTGTGTGTGTAGAATATCTTCCCATTATAGGTATAGATCGTCATAGGTGCATGCATTTGAATAATCGGTTAACTGGCGTTCAGCTTTATACGAGATATGATATATGTACAGTTTTGCAGTCTAGTAAAATAACTTAAAATAATAATAACAATATAATAATTTTTATCCCTAATAAATTAAATTTTTGGTAATAAATCATACTTCATGCTTCATAAATAGATATAGGTATACATATACGAGCGTCATTTGATAAGTCAGATAAAAAAGCAATAAAATCACCTATTTTCTGAAAAATTCTTTTTCACTTTTCGATGTAGTCTCCTTGGAACCTTACACACTTAGTCCAGCGGTGTTCTAATTTTTTAATCCTTTCGCAAAAGTAGGAAGTCTCAAAGCCTTCAAAATATGCATCCACAGTAGCGATGACCTCCTCATCGAAAATTTCTTTCGCATGAGCCAGATCTTGAGATTTGGGAATAGAGAAGTCACAAGAGACTAAATCAGGAGAATAAGGTGGATGGGATAGCAATTCGAATCTTAATTCATGCAATTTTGCCATTGCGACTGAAAGACTTTTTTGCGCGCCAATCTCGGCCGTTTCGTTTGCAGCTTCGTACAAACGATTCAGAAGTGTAGAATAATATGCTCCTGTGATGCCCCTGTTTGACTCTTCTGTAAATAGTCAATGAAGATGATTCCTTGGGAATCCCAAAAAACAGTGGTCATTATCTTCCCGGCCGACAAAACAGTCTTCTTGGGCGCACAATCAGATGCTGTCTATTGCTTCGACTGTTATTTTAACTCGGGTGTATAGTGATGGATCCAAATCTCGTCTATGGTCACGAATCGATGCCAAAAATCTTGTGGATTGCACTTAAGCACCGACAAACACTGCTGCAAAATGTTTTTTCGCATGCGTTTTTGATCGATGGTCAGCAATCGCGGCACCCATCGTGCACAAAGCTTTTTCATTTCTAATTCTTTGTGCAGGATATTATACACCCTATCTATTGAGATGCTTACAATCTCAGCTATGTTACGCTTCATTCGGCGATCTTCCATGACGATACGATAGATTTTTTCAATCAGTTCTGGCGTAATGATTTCAACTGGACGGGGCTTCATCTTTGGTTGATGTCCGGTCTCTTTTGAATTCATTAATTCAAAAATAAACGGTCTTCAACGCTGGTGCAGAGTCCCCGTGAACTTTATTCAATTCGGCTTTAATCTGCGCATCCGTCCACTTCTTTAAATAAAAATGTTTAATCACTGCATGAAATTCGTCTTTCTCCATTTTTACGACAACTGTTGCCCTGCTCACTTCCAATGTCTGTAAACTAAGCGTCAGCTTTTCAGCTTTTGGCTGAAACTTGATATGAGACAGTTTGAATGTGTTACTTCCAAGGCCATGTATTGGCCATATACTACACAGTTCATTGTGACGCTATCTCGCAAAAA